AAGACCCAAGTTTTCAACCCAAGAAATATTATTGGTGTCAGAAGAAGACCCAAGTTTTCAACCCAAGAAATATTATTGGTGTCAGAAGAAGACCCTTTTTTCAGCCCAATTGTCGTTGCTTGGCTGGTAATGGATGAAGTACTTGTTTAAGTGCTTGAAAAAATTACATTGGAAGTATTTTTATCAAATGCCCCTTCTTATCCTATGTGATCTAGACTTACCGGATCCCCATTGGAAGGGAAAGTTTCTGTTCAAATCAGTACCAACGCATTTCGGGTTACTAGTCGGCCTGCGATTTTTCCTCCACAAGCGATCCTGAATCATGGTAGAACAGTAAATCAAAGTTAAGGAAAGACTGACAAAATTGCTTGATTTGAAAAGGAATCATTCAAATATTTGAAAGTGTATTTTTATCATCTTCATATGCGTTAATTTGAAGATATACAGCTATTTATGAAAAGGTTGGTCTGGTTCAAAAGGTTGCATGTTGCTTAGTAATCGCGCTTATAAAGCACGCGGGGGTTGACATAACACGAGAGAAGTGTTAGGAGAAGCATGACGCGTAGCGGAGTGCTTTTTGACACTTCTCGAGTGTTCTATCAATCTCCAAGTGCTTTATAACTCCACACAGCACAGCAAGCAAGTTTTTTTATTTCTTTTATAAAATACAAATTACAAGAATGACGAAACTGAAAGAGCGCGGGCGTGCTGTGTGCTCTCATAAAACACGCGCTCCCAACCAACCAGTATGCGAGATTTAGAGCAGGCAGTTATTTTATAATAGGTATTAGTGCATTTTGAGCTTGTTAAGCAACATGCAACAATAAAACCTTGGCCAATTTTTATTGAAATAGCTGTATACATATTCCAAGATATTTTCCTATTTCATTGTAATATAGCTCTTGCTATAATGTATAACTTATGAAGACAGTCAAAAGGCTACACTAATGCAAAAGGATTTACGTGATGTAGTCATCCTACAATTATTTCAGAAAAAGGTTGGCTAAGGCTTTGTTGCATATTGCATACCAAGCTTGATATGTATTGTGTATCGTATTCAAGTGTAAACAATGTCAGCAAAGAAGAAATTAAGTCAGTAAAACAAGCAGAAAAAGTCTGGGAAAATTCCATATCGTTGTGACCTTTTGCTGATAGCATTCACATCGCCCGTAGTGCATTTTGGGCTTGGTATGCAACACGCATGCCACCGACCTCCATTAACCTGTACTCCATCCTTCATAATTGTATTTATTAACGTTAAGTTTTTTTAAGTAATTTTAGCAGCTGACTGACTAGTTTGGCTCTAGACTTTAAGTTTCATGTTTAAGCTTACATTTGTCCAGGAGTAAACGTATCCATCAGGGTTAAAGACAGGTAGAATGATAAAATCCATTTTATCTAATGTTGCCTTTATTGTTGCATCGGTGTTATATTCATTTACAAACTGAAAATAATCATAACAGATAACCAATTAATATAGTAATAAGTATAGATAGCAATCCAGTTTCGAGTTTTCTGATACTCAGGGCTAGCCTTGATTTTTAATTTCAATGAAGGTCCTTGGAATTTTGAAGTGTTTGTATTATTGAAGCTTTGCATTCTTTACTTTACCGTTGGTGAAGAGGCTATATCCTCAACAATTGTTTCGTTATGTTTTTTCTTTTACTTCCGCTTTTTTTTAACCTTTTAACTTCCGCTTGTCGCGTGTTTGTTTGTCCGCTAACCAGCTAACAGCGCGGGCGCGAGTTTGTGTAGCGTGTTCGTTTGCAGAGAAGTTTGTTCATTGATTGGTGAGTGAATTTTCTTTATTTTTCGCCTTTGTATGCTCTTTATTTTGCTCGTTTGTAAGTATGTGTGTCGAATAAGTTGAAAATAAAGTGAAACCTTTCGATGGACATTTACATTGTGATTTGTGTTCTACGCCTCTACACAAACGAATCCTTCAGTTGGTATTTGTGAATATTTAGTCGCTAATTCGAGGCTAAGCCTGAGTACACCTTTTGCTGTTCATTAACAGAAAATGTACATTCATTTGTGCCAATAGTTGTATCAATAACGTGTAATGTACTTTCATCAACACCACAAGTAACATCATTAGCACGGATCAACTTTCAATAACGATAATTGAATATGCGTGTACATTCATAGGCATCAATGGACAATCAATAGCGCGTTTGTACATTCATATACGCGGAATGTATTTTCTTGTGCGCGAAATTCAACTTCAATAACACCAAATGACAAACAATTGCATTTATGGACAATCATTTACCCAAAAGTGAAAATTCATTAGTGCTATTAGCATAATCATTGACAATCTATAACGCGCTTGGACAATCATGAAGGTCAACGTTATATTCTATAGCGTGGTTCGACAAACATTTGCATGATTCGAATAAACAATAAGAGAAATAAAACAATCATTAGCGTTTTTTBTTTTACTTTAGCCTTCAATTTCTTCGCCATTTATRCATCGTGGCAAATACGTTTGCATATATCTGAACCACTGACCACTTTTAGCGGTAGTGATAGTTGCCACATTTCTCTGGAACCCTTCGATTAGCAACTGCGTTATGTAGTGACCTAGAGCAATCCCTTGTCGTCTTGCCTCAGCCCGATCATTCAAATGTTGTTGGATCTCTGGACGGCTGATGTCAGCTTCGATTGCTGCTTTAAGTGAGCTAATTGCTATTCTCCTACGGAGCCGCTATTATGGAGGCAGTTTCCTGAGTTTTTTATTTGTTTTAAAGTGATAAAAAAGAACATCGCTAATGATTGTTTTATTTCTCTTATTGTTCATTCGAATCATGCAAATGTTTGTCGAACCACACTATAGAATATAACGTTGACCCTCATGATTGTCCAAACGCGTTATAGATTGTCATTGATTATGCTAATAGCACTAATGAATTTTCATTTTTGGGTAAATGATTGTCCATGAATGCAATTGCTTGTCATATGGTGTTATTGAAGTTGAATTTCGCGCACAAGAAAATACAATCCGCGCATATGAATGTACAAACGCGCTATTGATTGTCCATTGATGCCTATGAATGTACACGCATATTCAATTGTCGTTATTGAAAGTTGATCCGTGCTAATGATGTTACTTGTGGTGTTGATGAAAGTACATTACACGTTATTGATACAACTATTGGCACAAATGAATGTACATTTTCTGTTAATGAACAGCAAAAGGTGTAATGGAATCTGTAATCAAGGAACACAGCGGTAATTTGAAACTCGAAAACGGTCTTTTCAGCATCTAATGTCTAGTATGACCAATCCTGTGTGGACAAAAATGGCATGCATGAAGTAGTCGATAAGATATATATATATATACCTGTTCAAGCATGTAGATACAGGTTGCCGGTGCCACCCACTCACGGGCATGTATTCCACAGTTGATAAACATTACTGGCTTGTTGTTTTGAGGAGCACCTTTGATCTAAAAAAAGAAAACGAATGATAGCGCATACGAAGTTTCTTCATTACTACCATCACCTCCTCATCCGCCATCTTGTTTTGACAAGATAAAGCGAACGTTGCTAAGAAACGATCTTTTAGAATGTTGACTTTGTGTTGCTAAACGAAGAAACATCGAGAAGCATCGCTTCCATGCGTCTTGGAAGCATTAAATGTTGCTGCAGTGTTCTGAAATAATTCTGCCGTGTTCTGAAGTGTTTTTGCGTCTTGGAAGCAAAATTTGTTGCACGCAGAAATGTTTCGCATGTGCCTAAACTTGGAAACATCGGGAAAACATGCGTGCGGTAAACATGTTTCTGGAAACATGCTTCCTCGTTTAGCAAGGGCCTTATAAACAAGCTGTGTCGTCACAATAAAATGGGACAATTGATAGAAACCTATCAAAGCATAGAAAAGCTAGCAACCTGAGTGAAAAAAAGGCGAGACGGGATGAAAAAGTCCTACACATTTAGTAATAGCATATATGATGTGTCGATATGTTGATAACCATATGCCTCATTAGCGCATGGTAGCCAGTGAGTGTTTATTACGTATATGGCATCCATTACYTTTACTGCCAACTGATCTCTTTTTTCAAAGGATTTCCCAATAGGAATGAGTTCAGCTCTTTCATCGGCCTTGTTAACAAGGTGACGTATCTTAGCTTCGATCTATTAGAAAATAAAGTAGATGTTCGAATTACTGTTGAAGTACAAAATCGAGGAGTATCCGAAAGCAACCATGTCGTGAGCAAAAAAAAACTTTTTTTGTATAGGACTATAGGACGAGTATAGGAGGACATTCAATGTTCTAAAACAGAAATGTTGAGCTGACCCCCCCAAAAAAAATAACTGAGGCCACTGAACCCTCCGTAATAGTAATAAAAAACTGGGGCGAGCTTGCATTGCAACATGCAACATGCAACATGCAACATGCAACATGCAACATGCAACATGCAACATGCAACATGAAATAGTTTCATGCAAACGAATTAAGAGGTCTATTCGTAGAATGTTAAATAAAAATAGACAAACTTACC